CTGAAGTTGAGGCTCCAATACTTTGGCCATCTCATGAGAAGAGAAGACTCCTTGGAAAAGACCTTGATGTTAGGAAAGTGTGAAGGCAAGAGGAGAAGGGGACGACAGAGGATGAGATGGTTGGACAGTGTCATGGAAGCAACCGACATGAATCTGACCCAACTCCAGGAGGCAGTGGAAGATAGGAGGGCCTGGCGTGCTCTGGTTCATGGGGTCACGAAGAGTTGGACACGACTAAACAAAAATGATATATTAAAATGGATATTTACACTTTACTAGCTTTCCGGAGCATTCAGATATATATCCAGCAAATTATACATCTTGCCTGCTTTTGCGTGTGGTACTCGAGTCGATGTTGGCAACAAATCATTTGTGAAACGTTGGCCTCTGGGAAGTCATTCTGTAGCTTTAGCACTACAACAGTAAATGGCTTGTTCGTTATGGTTGGTGGCTTTGCTACATGTAACAGTCATTCTTGGAACAGGGCTCTCAACAGCGGAATTTTTGCGGAGACCTTAACTACTTGATCAACGTGACTAAATATAAGCAGGCAGCATTAAATTACCCGTATGAAGTAAAATGCAAATAAAAGTGAAATTTATGAGCATTTTCCAACTAGCTCGCTGTGTATAGCAAAAGAACAAGGACGCCTATGCCACAAGGCCCTCTGCTGTTTGTACAGCTGTTTGTGCTCTGCTCGTGCAAGGAAAGAAACGTGTGTAAACCTATTCAATTAATAACCATGTTGCCTATGGCCTGCAAACAGTTCAGAGGGATGGAAGTCTTTTTGTGCACCGTACCATATTTTTTCTTTGGTTGTACATCTCTCAGTGTGAAATTATGATGGTGGGGCATCAAAGCATGCCTATAAGAACTGCCATGGCTAATCCTTTTTCAGAAGCTTAACCTAATGCTAACAGGGTAAATGTGAGTATTTTTACATGACCGTCATCAGCAACGATTGAAGAATATCGGGCATGTGGTGTTACTGATGGTGAGGTACAGTTCAACTGGATGTCTAGTTTAGTCCATTTCTAACACAGTGAATTGATGGAGAGCACTTAATGTGATTCATGTAATATTCTTTCTATAATATCAGCTTTAATAAGTTGAGAATATCTGGTTGTAAATGTATGCCAGTGGTTCTTAACCTTGAGTTACTCAGGTGTTTTTGGACTGCAACTCCCAGAAGCCTTCACCACCAGCTGTGCTGGCTGGGATTTCTGGGAGTTGCAGTTCAAAAACACCTGAGTAACCCAAGGTTAAGAACCACTGATGTATGCCATGTCTGAGCACAGCAACCACAGAATAAATTTGATGAACTTGCTTCGTGATTTCTTTAACAGGGAGAACTAAATATAGCTACTTGTCTATCCTTGACCCTGTGATAATGTTTTGTTTATTGCTTTTCCCTGCTATACATCAGTCCTTGAACATCCAGTTATGAGTAAATTTGTTTCTGATTTAGGAGTGCTGAGAAAGGTGGTGATATATTAAATCATTGGTGGGCAACATGCTTCCCAGAAGGTCCAAAGGGTTCTCTGTTACCCAATTTTTAATTTTTAAAATTTAGTTTAAAAAAAAAAGTCGTTTGGCCACTTGGAGATAGAAGAGAACTTTTTCATTAAAACATTATTTCAGGAACAAAAATATACGTAGAGTAATTATTATGAAAGCAGCTCTCCCAAGGTCTAGTGAAGTTCATGAATAGTCCCTGGGCCTCTGGAGGTTGTCCAATCCTGTATTAAAAACATCTAAAAGAGTTCCTTGGAATTCCAACCCAACCTGTCCCACTAGTATCTGGCAGTCGTACCCAAGATTTAGATACTGTTTTGGCATCTTCACTATCTTAGAGACTCTAGGAAATGGGTGTAGTGGGTGAATGAAAGTATAGTAAGAGAAAAATATGTATATCATATTTTCATAGAATAATGTAGTTGGTAGGGGCCTGTAAGGTCATCAAGTCCAACCCCCTGCTTAAGGCAGGAATCCAAATCAAAGCAGATCTGTCAAGAGGTTTTCTAAATTTCTTTCGAATGCCTCCAGTCTTGGAGAACTCACCACCTCTCATGGTAAGTTAGGAAGTTTTTCTTGATGTTCAACCGAGATCTTGCTTCTTGTAACTTAAGCCCGTTGTTGTGTGTCCTCACTCTGGGATGTTCGAGAGCAGATCCTGCGACCCTTCTCTGTATGACAGCCTTTCATACACATTTTGTTAAGCTGGATAGTACTTGGCATGATTTGTTTAATTTGTGTGCATTCCATTTGGATAATTCAGGTTTCTAGATATTATCATTTTATTTAATCCATTGTACCCTTAAGTTGATGGTTATAATCTTGGCAGTCTAGAGTGCATCTATACTACATAGTTGTAGTAGGTTGAAACTTCTTTAGCTGCCATAGTATCATCTTACAAAATCTTGGAATTTGTAGCACATGGAGTGACAGGGCCCAGCATTCCATAGGGCGGAGCTATGGCAGCGAAACTGGTGACATGCTGCTATAACAGTGTGGCGCTGTATCTGTGTGGACTGCATGCACTTTTAGTTTTGATAACATGATAACATTTCTTTCAAAGTAAGGTTTTTTAACAAAAGATTTCAACTTCTGGGTTGAGGCTCATCTAGAGAATAAAAGTGCCCCCTCCCAATGTAGTAAATAAAATGAAATTGAAGGGAGCTGGTTTGGTTGACTTAGGGTCTGTTTTACAGCCTGTAAAGCATGTATTGTTTGAGAGGTATTGCCTGGTAAGCGAAACGCTTACCGATCTTCGCAAAGCGAATTTCGCCCTATCTAAAGCTCGTTGAGCGATCGCATTAGCTATCCCAAAAAAGGGATCGCTATGTGATTTCGTCGTTGTACAGTGCGCTCGTTAAGCAAGGCACCACTGTATTGTTTGAGAGGTATTGTGTCTTTCTTAAGCAGCCCAGCTAATACTTCATTGATTCCTCACCCTAGTCAATAACCACAATAACACTAGTCTTGCTGCCATGTGCATCTTTCTTTCAAGGAAGGAAGTATGCTTTTCCTAGCAGGACCTTCATCCCTTTGTAAAGAATCCAGTGTCCTGGGGCAATGTTCTATAATTTCATCATCTCTTTTTCTTCTGTTGTCAACGTTTACCTCCCTCATACAAAGCTCACATTACAGAATGTTACAGGAAAAACTGATTATCAAATGCTAATCACAATGTAGCAAGTCTTTAGAAGCACGTATCAGTTGAGGGCTTGAGTTCCCTTGATAAGCTGTCCAGCTGAGACTGTGCACATTATTTGGAAATGGGTATTCTAGGAAGTTAACGGCAGATAAGCTTAACTTTTCCTTGTATGTTTACCATTGACACTTTTCCATTTCATTAGCCCTGGGAAACTATTTCGGAAGAAGTGAATACAAGTAGTGATTCCTTGAGCCTGTCTCTGCCGCCACCCCCTGCTTCACCCATCTCTCGGACCAGTCCTCAGGAGCTGTCTGATGAACTGAACCGAAGGCTTCAGATCACTCCTGATTCCAATGGGGAACAACTCTCTTCGATTATTGTAAGTGACCCTTCTATGGATATTAGATCTTTCGAAGCATATTCACTCTGAATGGTCTAAATTTTTTCTACTCGGGGATTAAAATAACCAGTTTTTAAATTCTGGCCCTGTATTTGAGTCCACAGTTGAAAATCTCTTAAATTGAGTGTCATAGGTGGCCTGTAATCCAAGCTGGAGAGCATGTTATCCACAATTTGGGGGTGCAGTGCTCCACCACACTCCTAGGGAATGTATCTTGGCCAGATTATCAGTGGGTTTTTGCTGCAGAGTATTTGAAAGTGCACAAGTCATAGTAGCAAACTGCAGCTAATTTTCAAGGTGCTGTTTGCATGCCTGGTATGTGATCAGACAGTAGGCCAGCACCTTGCTAATTAGCTGCAATTCACTGCCAGAACTTATGTGACTTACTCTGGAGTAAGATCCCAGTAAGATTCTGAATATTTTTCTTTTTATATATGGAACAAATCAAAACATTTATTAGATGCTGTGATGCACTGATTCAGATACACAGCTCTTGGAGAGCATGGAGTTCCCCATGTACAGCAAAGTCAATATATTAGTTATGCACTGTGTGCACAATGCTTTTGGATGAGCATATGCATGCTCCTCTAGCTAAAAACAAGACCGTTCAATTTATATGCCGCCCACACTACCCAAAGCATATTAGTTATGCTCTATGTGCACAATGCTTATGGATGAGCATATGCATGTTTCTCTAACTAAAAACAAGACCGTTTTCCAATACAGTAAGTTTCAGCTCAGTACAGAAGATAAGTAAAGGCTACCTAAATATGGAAAGATTTGCATTTAAGTGTTTCTTTAAAATATTGGGCAAATAAGTACAGTATATTGTTTCCACAGGCAAATAAAACCTTAGATTACTTTAATGAGCATGGACAGAATGAACAATGAAGTCAAGTGACCTTTCCTATGCAAGATTCCAGAAAGAGGAAGCTGACAATGTTTCCATAAATTAGAAAATGCTTTCAATGAACAATTCATGGCAAAGAATACTTTAATGAAACACCAGTGGGCTCACATAATGTTTTTCTTACATGTTCAGTATGGATGGCCCTTTCAAATGTGTCTGAAGCTTGGAAATCATTTACAGGCTGTTCTGACTAAGTCAAAGCTGTGTATTCCAAATTGGAGTCACACAGGGTGTAATAACCAGGTTGCACACTTTCCCTTTGTTCACGCAGGTGGTGTAATTTGGTTCTGATATGAAACTGGTAGCCATGTCAAAACGATGTAATCATTTTTCACTGAGAGACAGCCGGTCTGAAACAATTAAATAGTACATAGCTATTAAAATTCATGCGTAGGCTTGAAGATGAATCTTCTCAATAATATATTGATCACATGTAGCTGGCATTATAATTAACACAGGAGTTCTGATAGGAAGAAGTAGAAATACATTGCACAAACAGAGCAATGGATCCAATGTTTGTGTGTTGCAAATGGAAGGGGCCCTTCTCTCTCTGGAAGGCATTCCACTTAGCCAAGGCATCCTGTTGGTGGATATGAGGTATTGACCTCATTTGATTCCACACTCCTTCTCCACTATTTGTGACTTCCCCAAATCCAGTCCAAAAGATTCTCCCTCTCTTTGGAGCAGATGACTGAATTTTCTGCTGAGGATTGAGGGGAAAGCCAGAGGGAGCAGAGTCTAGATCAGTCTTCCCTCTAAGCTGCACACCCACACAACCAAGCCACTGTTGCCACCCATTTGCTTCCAGTTGCGACTGAAATCCCACATACACGGGTATTCCCCCCCCCCCGCGTGCGCTAGCAGAAAATTAGAGGGAATGTTGGTTTGGATCCAATTTGAAATAGATCTAATTTTTTAAAAAATTCAGCATAACTTAAAATTGTTCAAATATCATTTTAGTACTGTCAGTCCCACAGATATACAGACATTGGCTTCGAGTCCTCCAAAATGCAATCGTAGGAGACCATCCTGCATACACTTGTCTTGTTTTCTCCCATGGCAGGAGACAAGAGGAGGTATCTGTAGTAGTATTTTGGTGTTGATAGATTTTCTTACTAAGCCTTGGTGCTCTCTCACTCTGTTAACATAATGAGCCGGGCTGCCTTTGATGAAACGAGCTTGTCATGAAATTAAGTTGAAAAAGAACCTCCTGGGCCCAAAAAGACTGTGCATGTGGGCTCCAGCCTTGTATCACAGTGGTTAAACTGCAGTAATTCAGCCAAAACCCTGCTCATGACCTGGGTTCACTCAGCCTTCCATCCTTCTGAGGTCATTATATTTATTGAGTACTCAACTTGCTGGGAGGGGGGGCAATGTGTAGCCTGCATAATTAAATTGTAAATTGCCCAGAGAGTGCTTTAAGCAGTATGGGGCAGTATATCAGCAGCAAGCTTTGCTTTGCTTTGCCATCATTCCAGCCATCCTGAGCTCAGGATTCTAGGATGTGGCAATCCTCCTTAAACCTGACTTATTATCCCAGACTTCCATGCCTACTTCCTGGACACAGTGCCTATGCCCTGACACATTGATTGTAGCAGACACTGGATGGGATGTGACAGGACAGGAACTGCTTCCCTTTTTTTTTCATGGGGGAAACTAAAGGTATGGAAGAAAGATACTGATTTTCATTCTTGTAGAGGCCTGACATTGTGGCACTACTGCTTCCTTATTATGAGCCATCTTCCCTGGAAAAAGAAGGGAGAAATGAGATAAGCACTTTCTAGTTACATGTAAAGTACTTAACACTGTCGTGGGCTGGAATCCTGTGTGAATGAATTTGCGTGCTATGCATTGACTGAAAATCCAGTGTCTCTTCTGAAAAGCAGATGAGATGTTGGTGGTGGGAAGAGAATATAGATTGGCGTGAAATATTTATTTCTAGGGTATCTTTCTCTGCAAGAATTACTCCTTTAAAAACATTGTTTTCACCAACAATCAACCTTTTACTTTAAGATGTCTGTGAACATTTTTCTGAGACCATTTTGAGAAACTTAGTGGTAAATATGAGCTGAGGCATTAATTCTCTTGAGTTAGAATAGCAACGGCTCAGGATGGGATTTTAATTGCCAAATATTGTAGGAGCTGTTCTAGGAGTACGGAAGGTCTCTTAATTTAAAAACCGTCCTACTTTGTTGTGCAGTTGCACTAGATTAGTGAAGTATAGGGAGAAATCCACTTGAGGGGGCTTTCTTGAGATATAATGGGGTACAGTATACCTTTTTTCTAGAAGTAATGAGGATAGTAACAGGTTAATAGACTCAATGAACTTGAATCAAAAAGCTCTACATAATTGTTAGAAGCAGCTCCAGTGACACAGTGATTAAGAATTCTACTGGAAGATTCAATCATCAGAACATTACAGAAAGTTTATCTCCCTCCCATTAGAAACAGTAGACATTTTTGGCCAGTCTAGGAATATATTATCCCCATTTTATGCTTTGCTGACATCCTTAATGACAAAAAGTGCAGTAGATCAGCAGCAAGAATCCTGTGAGGCAATGTTTTCCAACCTTGGGTCCTCAGATAGTGGATGATAAATCCACAAATGCACAGAACCAGCAGATTTCCTGTGAAAAGCTACTTGATGAGCGTTGTCTAGGTAGGCGTGTTGCCAAAATCTTTTTTCTTTCTCTGTCTTAAGCATCTTGTTAGCAAGGATACATACAGGGGAAACATAACAAAGCCAGTGAAGAATAAAGCTTACATTTAAACATGAGCAAGTGCATCAGCCTGAGTGGAGGATTCAGTCCCCATCATACCAAGGGAGAGCTGGCAGAGATTTCTGCCTGTAACTCAAGAAAACGTCTGCCAATTAGTACAGCCATTATTGACCTAGATTGACTCAAAATAAGGCAGATGCTTGTTCTTCAGTCATTCATAGGCAGAGGGGTACCAGGGACAACATATGAACCAGATAGAGAAAGCTAGAAGGATGGGGAGGATATGCATAGGATGGATTTCTTTGTGGGCGTAAGGTCACTTGGTGACCCATCTGATGCAGAAGTATGGTCTTTGGTTACAATGCACCCATTTATTTGTCTACCAGCTTCTCAGAAGAAGCAGTAGATTCAGTGTTTAGAAGAAATGTGTTCACAACAGTATAATGAAAATAACTACGTGTGTACCATCAACTTGACTGTGACTTACAGGGAGTGACCTCTTCCAAGGTTTTCTAAGTATCGATTGCTCAGAAGAGGTTTACTGTTGTCTTGTTCTGGGGGCTCCCTGGAACCGTGAAGCTTGCCCAAGACTATTCCAACTGGCGCTAGTCCTGGGACACACACTCAGGAATCAAACTCCCAACCTCTGTCTCTGCACTAAGCTATCAAATATAGTAAAACTATCAAATTCAGAGCTTGGAAAAGTAACTTCTTTGGGTGGCAATTTCCAGACCCCTCCACATGGCTTCCACTGTGGCCACTGTAGTTTTAAAAAGGGCATATTTTCCAATCTTGGATCAAATTACTGAATAACAATTTCACAACAGTTCAATTCAAAGTTGCAACCTCGTTTTGGCTTTGTTTTGCTTGTTTGATTTTTCAATAAAGGAGACAGCCAGGAATTGTATGGCTAGAGCAGCTTTTCATCACAGTAAAGAAATCTTAAGTTGGATTTGGCCTTCTCTTGATTCCCTGTTCTGTGTGCAAATGACCTTTGGCTTAACTCTGGCCAAAGAAAAAATTGTGGGTTTGATCAAGAATTGTGAGCTGGCCTCTGATTCTGCAACACCACTTTCCCATCTTCTCCTCCCTCTTGTACCTTGTTCCCGCTAGGTCTCCAGCATCTCTAGTCCTCCCGAGCAGATTGGAATTGGGCAGGGTAGGCTATAGGCAGAGAGGGAAAAAATAATACAATGGTGCCTCGCTTTACGATTGCCCCACATTACGATGAAACCTCATTACGGCAATCTTTTTGCAATCACAATTGCGATCGCAAAACGACGGTTTAAATGGTTTTTTTTTCACTTTGCGATGATCGGTTCCCTGCTTTGGGAACCAATTCTTCGCAAAACAACAATTTTAAAACAGCTGATCGGCAGTTTCAAAATGGCCACCCGGTAAACAAAATGGCTCCCCCACTGTTTTCTGGGACAGATTCCTCGCAAGACAGGCAGTGAAAACGGCTGCCCTATGGAGGATCTTCGCTGGATGATGAGTTTTGACCTCATTGGTATGCATTGAAGGGGTTTCCATGCGTTTCAGTGGGATTTTTTTCCGCTTTACGATGTTTTCACTTAACGGCGATTTTCCTGGAACAGATTATCGCCATTAAGCGAGGCACCACTTTATGTTTTTATTAATTTTTTAGACTAGAACTTTCAAAATTCTACAGCCAACAAGGCTGCCTGGGGAATTCTCAGAGTTGTAGTCCAAAAAAGTATCAGTGCTTTAGTGTTGACAGTATTATTATTCCTTTTAACAGTGGTGTTGCTGAGGCTCTGAGAGGCATGATTTGCATGAGATAAGGAAGGCTCCCTGCTGAAGTGCCATGTTCCCCATGAAAGGCTTTCCATGTTTTCCTTATCTTTTCCTGTCCTTTTTTTTTTTTTGTAAAATAGTCGCTGAAGCTAATATCCCATCAAATCCTATAGTTATCTTCCCAGCCCATCTAGCCCTTTCCTCTGCTATATTAAACAATGCTGAAATACTGCTCATGTTCAGAGCAGATTCACAAACCAGGTCTCTTGAGGGTGGTCTGCAAAACAAGATGGCGGAGCAGGTTTTGGGTTGTAGCAACCAGATTGAGGAAGGATAGAAAAATGTCATACTGAAAAGTATATCTGACCCATATTGATTGCGAGGAAAAATATTAAGCTCAGTGTACAGCTAATAAGTCACTGTATTTTCTTTCCTTCAGCAAAGAGACCCATCTGCAAGGCTAAGATCTTGCAGCGTAACTGATGCTGTTGCTGAGCAGACTCATTTATCACTGGTAAGTGTGGTTTTCTGATTTGTTTTTCCAGTCTGCCTGTCTTAAAAAAAGTGTGTTCTATAGATCAACATCTGTTTTCAATGTATTTGGTCCTGTTTCTCCTGCTCTTTACTTAAACTATGATTCCAATTATCTATTGCCAGGCAGCACATAGAGAATAGGAGTATGAGAATAGATATCCTCAGTATTGACTAGAGAAGTGCCTGAAGCTGTCTGTTGTTATGCTGATGCTGTTTCTTAGCCATGTAGGCTTAAACCTTTCATCAGAATGGAAATTGAGCTTCGTGTTTGTCAATTTGGGATAGAAGGAGGTGTTATGCGATGTGTGACTGCAGTGCAGGCCAGCTCTGTGAAGGATGTTTGCACTTACATTTACCCAGTTTCCCCAAATATAAGACCTAACCTGAAAATAAGCCCTAGTACGATTTTTCAGGATGCTTGTAATATAAGCCCTACCCCAAAAATAAGCCCCAGTTGAAACCCTGCCCTCCACCACTGTGCAGCAATCAGAAGAAGATAACATGACTGTGTTTGAATAAATGTAGATTGTTCTACATGAAAAAAAAAATCCCCTGAAAATAAGCCCTAATGTGTTTTTGGAGCAAAAATTAATA